TTTGTCGTTATATTTCTACTTTTATTGGCCTTTTCTTTCATAGAATCATTTTTAATTTATATTGCTTTATATTGCCACATTATTTATTTTTAAAATGTTATTTATTCTTCTTTTTACTTCTACTTTTATGTTATTCTTCCTTTATTGATTTATTTTTGTAATGTGACGCTCTCACTGCTCCGTACAAAAGCCCTCAATGACCAAGAAGTTATTACAAGAAAACCGAACACTCAAAACGATGGCAGTTGTTCACAGCATCTCTATTAAAGGAACCTTATAACTATCATTACAACCAGTTTCTCGATAACAAAATACTAATTCCATATTGTACCGGCCATGTTATCTTCTTAGATAAGACTCCTTACAACGAGACCTGCTGGTTTCACTAAAAAAGACTTTCTGTGTTTATTTGTTTATCAGGGCTGCAGCAACACATTTCCACCAAATATGACTTCAGTGGGATGCTTAATCTGTGTCTACTGGTTTGGACCCAGCACAGAACTGGGTGCTAATGGAGCCACTGGGGCCTGAAGATGAAGCCAACAGCTGCAGTTCCCTCAAATGCCCACTGGAGGCAGTAGTGAGCCCCTCCCCATCGACTCCAATGTTAAAAAGTCCAACTTCACAGCAGAAATAAACGCGTTTCTCAGCCTTCTAAACAGATGATCACTGCCTTTAACCTTTTGGAGAACATGTGTGTGTGTTTTGACGTGAACATTCTGACTCCAGCTCGAGCGCCGGGTTGGTTATCGTCGTGTTGGATCCGGTTCTGAACTTAATTCTCCTGATAAACACAAACACACAGTCAGGACCTACACACAGCTTGTGAGGTGTGACTTCTCTTTTTTCCTCCTCCTGGTATCCTTACAGAAGTCTTTGATCTCAGAGAGGTTAACATTTTGTACATCAGAGCTGAAGCGCTTCTTCTCTATCTGCGCTCACCTTTTAATTTCTTTCAATTTAACTTTCTTCTCTGTGCTTCCGCGCCGCCGTAACATAAAAGGAAAAGGTGCCCAACCCTTCTCCTCTCCGCTTCCTCTTTTCAATTTCTCTTTTTCTTCCCTCCTCTTTAACTTTCTTTATATCTCCCCCAACATCCACCGCTTCCCTCTCTTGACCTGCTCGCTTCCTTTTGTCTCCCTGGATCCCTCCCCCCTCATCACACAGCCTTCCTCTTCATCTTCCTCTCTCTCTCTGAAACCTGATTTACCGCTTGTTAACATCAAAGGGACGTTAGACTGTTGGTGCCTCCAACTATTTCTCCAAATCATTTTTATTTTCCAGGTGTAAATCAGTGTGAAAGCCGCACGCTCGCCGTGGCAGAGTTCGGTTTCCAATGAAGGTGTAAGACAGCAGAAGTCAGGGAGCGTCACAATGGTTCTGCTTCAGCCGCCGCCGCCGCAGCCATTGTTCGAGTCTGTCTTTTCAGGTTTGCTGAATTACCGCCGCACCGAGTCTGAATACCCCAGAGGAAGTTTTCAGAAAAATTAATCAATTGGAGAAAGTTTGAGGAAACAGCTCTTGAACTTTTAAGGTGAGAAAGTTCTGAATGTGCTCGTTTAGAAAATGTTCTGGAGTTTGTGCGGCGGCGCGGATGAAGGATAATTACAGGACGGACGCCTGATGATGGCAGCGTGGCGTGGATTCACCTTTTAATTGTTCTCTTTACGTGTTCTTCTCATTTCTGTGTGCTCTGTGTGCGGTCTGATGTGCAAAATGAAATTAATAAAATACAAATAAATACATGTGGATGACCTGTAGGAACTCTTTTGGGTTTTTTAAACTATGATTTCAGTCTTTTGGTTTCCTCCAACTGACCTCAGTGTCGTTTTGGCTGCATATGATGAACCCGACCCGATACAGCTACAGACCAGTGGATGAAACTCGTCGGTATTTAGCAGCTAAAGCAAAACTAAAACACGCCATCGATCACAAACAGATAATTAACATTATTATTAATGTTCTACTTCATTTGTTTGTTGTGCAAATCATAGTTTTATTCAGTCTTTTCATATGAATTCCCATCAAAGCCTAAATATGTACGCGCTGAGCTCTCGGCTTGTTTCTGCCGCCCCCTAGTGGTTGAGATTTATTCTATAAAGTTACTGCATGAGGGATTCGTTACATAAGATCCAGCCGAGCAGCGAGCGTCAGAAAGTCGGCTGTTTGTGCAGAAGCATCTCTCGCATTTCTCTTTTTTCTTTTAGCTCCATTGTCACTGTCATTTTAGATTCTCATTTTCTCCTCCTCTCGTCGTTTTGCTTCCAATTAAATTCTCTTTTAACTTCTCGTGGATTCTTTATGTGTGTGAGCGTCCACGTGGCTCAGAGCTGCAGAGCCAGAACAGAGACACAAAGAACTAATGCACAAGTACGAGCAGACGCACAAACATGCACACAGCTGGGTCGGACGACGCAATCGGTTCCGTCCGACTGACTGAATCTCCTGCAGCGACGAAGATCCTGAAAAGTTGAAATAAACACAATAAAGGAGGAGGATCGTATCAGCTTTTATCATCTAATAACCCAAATCTGAAGCATTAAATTGTAAATTCATGGTGGTGAATGTGGTCGCACACAGAAGATGCAAAACACAAACTCAGAACAAGTGCATCAGTGTTTCTGTGAGCAAACAGCTGAGCTGGAGGTTTGAGGACACTGAAGAATGGATTTAATCTCTCTGTTTCTGAGGAAGATGCTCAGAGAGAGAGAGAGAGAGAGCCGGACAAACAGCAGCGTGAATGAGAGGCAGAGAAAAAAATAAATAAAAGAAGAGACACAGAGAGAGAGAGAGAGAGAAGTAAAAGAAGAGCAGTGAGGAAAAAACGAGAAAGTAAAAAGTGTGGATCTCAGCAGTTGGGACTTGTTGAAAACACAGGCCAGAAAAACTGTCTTCACCTTCATCAGAGAGCACAAACAACACCACACCAATCGCACAAACCTCCAAAGACGAATGCTGCAAACTTTTCCAACTACTCAGCAGCACAAACGGTTTAAAAGGACGATTTGGCAGAAAGAACGGTTCATATTTTTATGTCGTTAACGGCGCAGACACACACAAGAAGCCGTACGAGGTGAACGCACGCCGTGTTTTGTATTCTGCGTTTGTAAGAAAAGCAATTTTGTGCGACTCTTTTTGCAGAGAAACTGTGTGATTGCCTCCAGATATAAAGAGATGGTGAATGTAACGTCTCAGAATCCATACGTTGTTGAAGCATCACAAAACAATAAATAAAACGGCAGCATCTCGCTCGT